ATAGGCAGAGGGAGAAGCAGGCTTCCTACAGGGAACTCGATATGGGACTCAATCCCAGGACCCCAGGATCATGCCCTGAACCAAAGGCAGACACTCTACCACTCAGCCACCCAGGCATCCCAAAATTCTGCTATTCTTATTTCATCTCCCCACCACATATTTTTTTCTGGAGTATGATTTTTTTAAATTTATAATCTATTTTTAATTTATTTTTAAAGTTCAAGTATAATTAACATATAGTGATATAATAGTTTCAGGTGTACAACATAGTGGTTCAACAATGCTATGCACATCTCAGTGCTCATCATGTCAGTGTACTCTTAATCCCCTTTATATTTTTCACTTATCCCCCCCCCCAACCGACCTCCCATCTTGCAACCATCTTCTCTATATTCTCTATATTTTAAGAGTCTGGGTTTTTTTTGTCTCTTTTTTTGTCATTCATTTGTTTTTGTTTCCTAAATACTACATATGAGTGAAGTAATATATGTCTTTCTCTGACTTTTTTTACTTAGCATTAAGTTACTCTCTAGATACATCCATGTTGCTGCAAATGACAAGATCTCATTTTTTTATGGCTGAATCATATTCCATTGTATATATACCACATCTTTATCCATTCATCTATCAATGGACACTTGGTATGCTTCCATGTTTCGGCTATTGTAAATAATGTTGCAATAAACCTAGGGGTGCATATATCTTTTCAAGTTAGTGTTTTCTTTTTTTAAAAAAAGATTTATTTATTTACTCATGAGAGACATAGAGAGAGAGGCAGAGACATAGGCAGAGGAAGAAGCAGGCTCCCCACAGGGAGCCAGATGTGGGACTTGATCCCAGATCCTGGGATCACGCCCTGAGCCAAAGGCAGATGCTCAACCACCGAGCCACCCAGGTGTCCCATCAAGTCAATGTTTTCATTTTCTTTAGGTAAATACCCAGTAGTGGAATTACTGGATCCTATGGTGATTCTATTTTTAATTTTTTAGGAACCTCCATACTGCTTTTCACTGTGGCTGCACTGACTTGCATTCCCACCAACAGTGCATGAGGGTTCCTTTTTCTTCGGAGTATGAATTTTTTAAGCATTTTTACTTATTTATTTACAATTGCATCCAAAAGCATAAGATACCTAGGAATAAACCTCACCAAGGAGATAAAGCATCTATACCCTAAAAACTACAGAACACTTCTGAAAGAAATTGAGGTAGACACAAAGAGATGGAAAAATATTCCATGCTCATGGATTGGAAGAATTAATAGTGTGAAAATGTCAATGCTACCCAGGGCAATTTACACACTTAATGCAATCCCTATCAAAATACCATGGACTTTCTTCAGAGAGTTGGAACAAATCATCTTAAGATTTGTGTGGCATCAGAAAGGACCCCGAACAGCCAGGGGAATATTGAAAAAGAAAACCAGAGCTGGGGGCATCACAGTGCCGGATTTCAGGTTGCACTGTAAAGCTGTATCAAGACCGTGTGGTACTGGCATAAAACCAGACACATAGATCAATGGACCAGAATAGAGTAACCAGAAATGGGCCCTCAACTCTATGGTCAACTAATACTCGATGAAGCAGGAAATACTATTTATTTATTTGAGAGAGAGTGACAGCCAGAGAGATCAAAGATGGAGAGGGAGAAGCAGACTTGCCACCAAGCAGTGAGCCTGATGTGGGATTCGATCCCAGGACCCCAAGACCATGACCCGAGCTGAAGGCGAATGCCCAACCCACTGAGCCATCCAGGCGCCGCTGGAGTATGATTTTTTAACCTGTTTATTTTTAACTAATTTTATACATACCGAAAAGTTGCAACAGAGATTTCCTACATATGCCTCCCCCAGTTTCCTCTAATATTAACACTGTGCATAACCATAGTACAATGATCAGAATCAGTAAATTAACATTGGCACAATACTATTAACTAAATCACAGATCTGGGATCCCTGGGTGGCGCAGCGGTTTGGCGCCTGCCTTTGGCCCGGGGCACGACCCTGGAGACCCAGGATCGGATCCCACGTCGGGCTTCCGGTGCCTGGAGCCTGCTTCTCCCTCTGCCTGTGTCTGCCTCTCTCTCTCTCTCTGTGACTATCATAAAACAAATAAAAAAAAAGTTTAAAAAAAATAAATCACAGATCTTACTTGAATTTTATCAGGTTTTCTACTAATGTTCCAGGATCTATCCAGGATTTCACATTGCATTGACTTGTTATTTTTCCTTAGTTCTATTCAGTCTTTAATGGTCTTGCATTGCCTTTCATGATCTGTTCTGAGTCTTTTAAGGCAAATCCTAGAAATACCACTTTTCCTGTAAATACATCAGTGTATTTCTCTAACAGGTAAGGACATTTTCTTTGCTATCACAATAACAAAACTAGTAATTCCTAGATATCATCTAATCTCTGCTCATCATCTCACAATTTTTTAAAAAGATGTGTTTTTACAATTTGTTCAAAACAGGATCCAAACAAACTCAACAAAATGCATTTGGATAATAAATCTCTTAAGTTTCTCTTAGTGTATAAATGTCCTCCTGTTTTAAATGTAATTTATTTGTTTAAATTCAGTGATTTGTCTTGTAGGATTCTTCACTTTCTGTATTTGGCTGATTGTATCCTTGTGGTATTTTTAGTATGTTCCTTTATCCACATATTTCCTTTAAACTCTAAGATACAGAGGTTTGATTGCATTCAGGTTCTTTTTTGTTGGAGGTGGAGCAAGAATAAAAAAAAAACTTAGGTGGTCCCTAAAATTAGGAATATTTGTTTTTTAACTATTTATTAAGAAAAGTTTCAGAGGCATACAAAAGTACAATGGTAAAATATACCCTCATGTACCTAACTTTCAATACTTATCAATTTATGGCCAGTCTTCTTTCTTCTATAGCCCTATCCATTTCCCTACTATACTATTTTGAAAGAAATCTCAGGCAACATGACTTGAGTAAATATTTAATGTGTATCTCTAAAAGAAAAGGAGTCTGTTTTTAAGGAACATAACCACAATGTTATTACTACATCCAAAAAATTATTAATTCCCTAGTATCAAGTATCTTGTCAGTGTTCAAATTTCCATTCATCTCCTAAATGTCATATTTTTATAATTTAAAATCTGACTCACTACCTGTTTTTAAAAATAAGGTTTTATTCATTGTTTATATCTTGTCTTTGATTGCTTTCATGCTACAGTGGTAGAGTTGAGTAGTTGCAACAGAATCTACATGGCTCTCAAAGCCCAGAACACTTACTTTTGGAGTCCTTTACAGAAAATGTTTCATGACCCCTGCTTTAGGCAATCATCTTTTAGAATCATTTAAAACAAGAAAAAATGTTTTTTGTACTTATCTTCATTTTAACCACTTCCTGGTGATCTTTTCCTGTGTAAATCAAAGTTTCCTTCTAATACCATCTTCCTGAAGATTTTTATTTAACATTTCTTGTAGTGCATGCCTCAGCATTTGCTTGTCTAAAAAAAAGTCTTTATTTTGCCTTCATTTTTGATAGCTTCTTTTACTGGACTTAGAATTATAGGTTACAGGGTTGTTGTTTTTTTGTTTTGTTTTGTTTTGTTTTTGCAGCATTCTAAAGGTGCTTCCATTTTCTTCTCGCTTGGGTAGTTTTGGGTGAAATGTCTGTTATTTATCTCTGTTCCTCTGAATACAACATCTTTTGTTTCTCTAGCTACCTTCAGGGTTATAGTTTTGGTTTTCAGTAGTTTGAATGTATCCAAGTTTTGGATTTTTAATTTTGTTTTGTCTTTAGGTGTTTATCTTGAGTGGGGTTCTCTGGGTTTGGGTCTGTCATTTGATATGTTTCATTATTTTGGGAATGTGTTCAGCCATTATAAAAAATCCAAATATATTTTCAGATACATTTTCTCTCTTCTGGGATTCCAATTATATTTTCTATCTGTCTATCTATCTATATTAGACTATTTGATATTGACTTACAGCTCTTGGATGCTTATTCTGTTTTAGGTTTTGTTTGTTTTTCTAGTTTTATTGAGATATAATTGGCATTATAATACTGTATAAGTTTAAGGTATACAATGATTTGATACATATATTTTTTTCTTTCTAAAATTTTCTTTTTATTTTAGTCCAGATAATTTTGACTGGCCTATTACTGATTTCTTTTTTTGGCTGTGTTGAATCTACAGATACAGCTGTCAAAGGCATTATTCATCTGTTAAACTGTGTTCATTTACTTCTGACATTATCATTTGACTTTATACTTTCCATATCTTTGTAGAAATTCACCATGATTTGTGCAGCATACTATCTTGTATTTTATTTACCTGCAACTGCTACCATTTAAATATTGTGCCTGTTGGGCCAAAATCCATGAGAAGGGATTGCTTTTGTTTTCTTAGGAATTTGAAGATTTCAACGTTTTAGTTACAATAATAAAATTTGGCAGATGAACATAAGAGTTTATAAGCTTGCAATCTCATAACACTTTGGAAATGTTGTTTGATCTGGTTTGCCAAGTAACCTGGTAAAAAGAGTAGAGATCAAGATTTATTTTGCTATTTCCCTGTTCTTCCCAGTTGCCCTTCAGGCTTAACATAACACTCCTTTCTAGCCAGCAGAGACCACCAGAGCCTACCAAGGAGCTGAAGAGCTACAGAATTGTGGCTGTGTAAAGATATGATTGCCAAAAGGTCACTTTCAAATAGCTTTGCAATCTTGTTAGCTTGTGCCCTGTGATGGCTGCATGCTTGAAAGAAAGCAAATATTTGAGGGCAAGAAAGTACCTATGCCATTTACTTTGTAACTTTTTTCATCATATGCCATCTCCTTCTTTAAGTGAAAAGAAACATTTGAGAATTTTAGTTGACCACATTGTTTAACATCTGGTAAACTAATACCTTACTTAAAAAACTGTGTAAAACCCTACAAAAAGACATAGTCCCTACTCACTAGAAAATGATGTCTTTGAGGAATGCTGCAGTTGATTACAGGCTTTAATTTCTTTTCCCCAACTCTTCTCAGTTTGCAGGCCTTTCCGACATATCAATCTCTCAAGACATCCCCGTGGAAGGAGAAATCACCATTCCTATGAGATCTCAAATTCGGGAATTTGACAGCTCCACATTAAATGAATCTGTTCAGAATACCATTGTAAGTAAGACTAGCTGATAGAACTCCTGTTCAGTAGCATGGGACTAAATAACTCTAGCACTTTGTAATTATTTTTGTTTGGTTCACTGATTTTCAGTAAATCTTATTTATTGAAATTTAAGATTTTCCCCTAGAGAACAATTTGGTACAACCTTCTTGGACAGCAGTTTGGCTATAATGAGTATTAAGAATTTTACAATTTTCAAATATTTTTAGCTGATAATTCTCCACATAGAGTATACAGAAATTTTTTTAAAAAATATTTTTCAAAATACAGAAAAATATGAATATACAAAGATATTTATTATAGCAGGCCTTATAATAAAGGGAAATTGAACAACAGAGAAGTTATCAGTTAAGTAAATTATGTTACATCTATATAGTGGAATACTAAACAACCATTAAAAATATATTTACAGGGATCCCTGGGTGGCGCAGCGGTTTGGCACCTGCCTTTGGCCCAGGGCGCGATCCTGGAGACCCGGGATCGAATCCCACATCAGGCTCCCGGTGCATGGAGCCTGCTTCTCCCTCTGCCTGTGTCTCTGCCTCTCTCTCTCTCTCTGTGACTATCATAAATAAATAAATAAAAATGCCCCATTTAAAAATATATATATATATATATTTACAAAGAACTGTTAATGACGTGAAGAAATTTCTAGGTGAAAAAAATTAGGACAGAATTAACTATATTTTTACAGGTTGTATTTGTATTACTACACTCTTCCTCAAATGTGTTGATTTTTTAAAGATATTTTTATTTATTCATGAGCAGGGAGTAAGGGCAGAGGGAGAGGCAGATTCCCCCCATCTGCACTGAGCAGGGAGCCTGACACAGGGCCCCATCCCAAGACTGTGAGATCATTACCTGAGCTGAAGGCATATGTTTAACCGACTGAGCTACCCAGGGTCCCCTCACATGTCTTGATTTTTTAAAATCTGGCTTCTAGGATTCTTTTATCAGTTAAGCTGGAAATGTTGGAAATTAGTTTGTTTTATATTGTGTATAATGTAGCTAGGGAGCAGGCTAATTTATGGCCCTTGGACTTCATCAGTTATGAACTGAAAGTCAGATGCCATGTTTTGCAGAGTAGATTTTAGTAGATCTATCATTTTAGGTTCTTTGAGTAACATATTGGGACAGCTATATTTCTCTTTTACAGAGCTTTAAAATTAAAACAGAATGCTGGATGTGGTAAAAAGTTAAATGTTGGCTTACGGAGTTAATAAAAAAGTTAATAGAAACACCCTGCCTTTCTGGTCTGCTTGTGTAGTGAAGGAGTTAAACTGGAGTTGTAGTTCCCAAATTCAATGAAGGACTCCCAGGTGGTTAAAATAAAAGAAATTTTAGCAAATTAATTGATGGGACTACTTGGTAACTTTGGTCATGATAATGCAAGTTGTTTATATCTTTCAGATGCGTGATCTAAAAGCTGTTGGAAAAAAGTTCATGCATGTTTTGTACCCAAGAAAAAGTAATACTCTTTTGAGAGATTGTAAGTATATGAGTTTTTTGAGGATTTGCTGTTTTTCACTGTACCTTATCATCAGTACTTTATGTAGCTAAATATCTATGATAAAAAAACTGACATTTTGCAGGATGAGAAACTATATAAATAATATGCAAATAAACATTTTGGAAGAACTTAAACATTTAGAATGGAATTTCAAAGATTGGGAAGATTTTGCTTGATATACTGTCTTCATCAATAAATATAGTCTGTATATCCTCACCTGCTATAATAGCCACTGCAAAAAATATTTCTGGAAGCTGCAAACATATAGGGACTTTATTCAACTAAAGAGCTGATAATTTAGAAGGGAAAGGCAAAATGTTTGAATGTTAAATTAGAATAACAGCTAATACCCATTAAGGATTAACAAATTAATAGTATCCTTATTGACATTTCTATTTGTAGAACTCTTAGAACTGATTTTTTTTGTTCAAGAGGTCTATCAAAACTGTTTGCAATGAATTATGTTCTTATTTAGAATTTATTATTAAAATTGTTAGACCTTTTATTTTTGTTTTCATAGTACCCTTTTTTTTATAAATTAATTTTTATTGGTGTTCAATTTACCAACATACAGAATAACACCCAGTGCTCATCCCGTCAAGTGTACCCCTCAGTGCCCGTCACCCATTCACCCCCACCCTCCACCCTCCTCCCCCTCCACCACCCCTAGTTCATTTCCCAGAGTTAGAAGTCTTTATGTTCTGTCTCCCTTTCTGATATTTCTCACACATTTCTTCTCCCTTCCCATATATTCCCTTTCGCTATTATTCATATTCCCCAAATGAATGAGAACATACACTGTTTGTCCTTCTCCGGTTACTGTGGCCAAGTTCAAAAAGGGTGTTGCCTGAGTTCTTCTCTGGGATTTTGATGGAATCTTGTCTCACATTTAGATCTTTCATCCATTTTGAGTTTATCTTTGTGTATGGTGCAAGAGAGTGGTCCAGTTTCATTCTTCTGCATGTGGATGTCCAATTTTCCCAGCACCATTTATTGAAGAGACTGTCTTTCTTCTAGTGGATCGTCTTTCCTCCTTTATCGTATATTAGTTGAGCATAAAGTTCAGGGTCCACTTCTGGGTTCTCTGTTCTGTTCCATTGATCTATATGTTTGTTTTTGTGCCAGTACCACACTGTCTTGATGAACACAGCTTTGTAGTACAACCTGAAATCTGGCATTGTGATGCCCCCAGATATGGTTTTCTTTTTTTAAAATTCCCCTGGCTGTTTGGGGTCTTTTCTGATTCCACACAAATCTTAAAATAATTTGTTCTAAGTCTCTGAAGAAAGTCCATGGTATTTTGATAGGGATTGCATTATACGTGTAAATTGCCCTGGGTAACATTGACATTTTCACAATATTAATTCTGTCAATCCATGAGCATGGAATATTTTTCCATCTCTTTGTGTCTTCCTCAATTTCTTTCAGAAGTGTTCTGTAGTTTTTAGGGTATATTTTGAGACCCATTTGAATGGTAAATGGTTCTCCAACCTTTTATTTTCAGGTTGTAGGTGTCCTTCTGTCTAAAATGAGTCTCTTGTAGACAGCAAATAGATGGGTCCTGTTTTTTTATCCAGTCTGAAACTCTGCGCCTTTTGATGGGGTCATTAAGCCCATTCACGTTCAGAGTTACTTGAACTTCTTCTTAAAGGGGAGTTTTAAGAGTCCCCCTTAAAATTTCTTGCAGAGCTGGTTTGGAGGTCACATATTCTTTCAGTTCCTGCCTGTCTTGGAAGCTCTTTATCTCTCCTTCTATTTTGAATGAGAGCCTTGCTGGATAAAGTATTCTTGGTTGCATGTTCTTCTCATTTAGGACCCTGAATATATCCTGCCAGCCCTTTCTGGCCTGCCAGGTCTCTGTGGAGAGGTCTGCTGTTACCCTAATATTCCTCCCCATGAAAGTCAGGGACTTCTTGTCTCTTGCTGCTTTAAGGATCTTCTCTTTATCTTTGGAATTTGCAAGCTTCACTATTAGATGTCGAGGTGTTGAACGGTTTTTATTGATTTTAGGGGGGGATCTCTCTATTTCCTGGATCTGAATGCCTGTTTCCCTTCCCAGATTGGGAAAGTTTTCAGCTAGGATTTGTTCAAATACATATTCTGGCCCTCTGTCCCTTTCGGCGCCCTCGGGAACCCCAATTAAACGTAGCTTTTTCTTCCTTAGAGTGTCATTTATTTGCCTTAATCTGTCTTCATGGTCCCTTAATTGATTGTCTCTTTTTTCCTCAGTTTCCCTCTTTGCCATTAACTTGTCTTCTATGTCACTCACTCGTTCTTCCACCTCGTTAACCCTCGTCGTTAGGACTTCTAGTTTGGATTGCATCTCATTCAATTGATTTTTAATTTCTGCCTGATTGGATCTAAATTCTGCAGTCATGAAGTCTCGTGAGGCCTTAATGCTTTTTTCTAGAGCCCCCAGTAGCTGTATAATAGTGCTTCTGAATTGGGTTTCTGACATTGAAGTGTAATCCAGATTTTGTAACTCTGTGGGAGAGAGGGCTGTTTCTGATTCTTTCTTTTGAAGTGAGGTTTTCCTTCTAGTCATTTTGCTCAGTGCAGAGTGGCCAAAAACAAGCTGTATTGGAACACGGGGGAGTATCACTGGTCCCTCTAGCTGGTCTTCTGGGGGAGGGGCCTGCTGCGCTGATTTTCAGGTGTTAGCACTTGGGGGAGCTGCTCTGCCCCTGCCTGCTGCAGGGCTCAGCGGGGGTTGTTTACCCCGTCGGGCCCCAGGAGGAACAGCCCCAGTGGCTATGGCAGCTCTGGAAGCCTGGATTCAGCCTCCGCAGGAACTATGGGGCTCGGGGCTCTCGGCTCTCCGTCCGCAGGGCCTGGAGGCTCCGGGGCGGGGCCGCTGATCTGCTCAGCTCGGGGCAGGAGCGTCTTCGCTGTCTCGGGCCCTCCCGGCCTCTGCCTGTCCTGGGGTAGGCCGGATCCTGGGCTGTGTCCCGGCGCCCTGTGCTCCGGGGCCTGCGCTGTTGGATTCGCGCTCCCGCCCCGCAGCTCCCTCCGCGGAGCCGCTCCCGAGCCCCTCCGAGCTGCTCCGGTCGGTCCCGCCGCCGTGCGCGCGCTGCAGCCCTTAGGGAGCTCGGCGCACTCTCCTGCGCTCGCAGGTGTCTGTCAGTGTCCCAGGGAGCCCGAGGGCATCCCCGCTCTCCTGGGTCCTGCTCCAACTCCCTGCGAGCCCCTTTCCGCCCGCCCGGGAAGGTTGGTGCAGCTCCTGCTCCTCCGGGACGGGGCCCTCCTGTCCTGGGGACACTCGCCCCGGCCTCAGCCCGGCTCCTCGCGGGGCCCCTCCCCCTCGGAGGCCTTTTGTTCCTTTATTTCTTTTTCCCCGTCTTCCTACCTTGATAGAAGCGCGGACTCTTCTCACTGTAGCATTCCAGCTGGTCTCTCTTTACATCTCAGGCCGAATTCGTAAATTTTCAGGATGGTTTGAAGGTTATCTAGGTAATTTGGTGGGGACAGGCGATTTGGGGACCCTGCTCTTCCGCCATCTTGCCCCTCCCCTTCTGTTTTCATAGTACCCTTTATCAGAAAAATTGAATCAGTTGTTTCAGAATAGTAACAATCGGGTTGTACATGAGTATACCTTCTATTTTGGCAGCATCTCAGCTATCATGTAGGGATTTCAAATATGTGGCACATGTGCCATCCATTTGTGGAGACTGGATGCAGCATCAGAATCTTTTTCAACATAATACACTGTGGGTTGGAGCTTACATGATTTGCTGCTGCTGGTATGTAGTGGAAAGAGGATGGACAGATCTGTGCTTGAATAGTGGTTCTGTCACTACCTATGTGATCTTGGATAAGACAGTTAACTTTTTTGAGGCTCAAGTTTCTTCCTCTGTTAAAGGGGAGATAATGTGTATGTGCTGATGAAGATTAGAGATAATGGCTATCAACTACCTCGCACAGCATCTGACATTTAGTAGGCACTCCATAAATGGTAGCTATTATTCCAGTGCCTTGATCTTCCTCTATACACACACATCTTTTTTAATCCTTACAACAACCTTGTGAAGTAGGAGTTACTGCTCCTGTTTTACAGACGAAGAATACAAGTCTCAGAGAAGCTGATTGTAGTCAAGAAGACACAGGCAGAATTAGAACCCAATTTTCTAGTTCATTGCCCTTTCCATTTTACCACTGCTATCTCAGATGTAAAGATATCCTTTCAACTGCTGCCATGGCTCATTCCTAAGCAAGGTTGCTTCAGTGGCAATGCAGAACCTGTGTGTTATTTTGCTGATTAGTGATGATCATTAGCTATGTCATATGTTATGGTCCATTCCCAGACCTTGTGGGGATAGATAGACAGGCTGGCACAAAAGTTAAGTCAGTCATTGCCCAAATTTGCTCTTCTACTCTGCCCTGTTAGCATAGCCCTTGGCAAAGTGGCAAGGAAGAGTTCATGACTTAAAATAAATTTTAAAAAACACAATGCAATATCACTTCACACCCAGTAGGATGGCCATTATCAAAGAAACAGAAAATAACAAGTACTGGTAAGGATGTGGAGAAATTGGAACCTTTGTGCATTGTTAGTGAGAATGTAAAATGGTGCAGCTGCTGTGCTAAACAGCATGGTGGTTCCTCAGAAAATTAAGCATAGAATTACTATATGATCCAGCAATTCCACTTCTGGGTTTATAACCAAAAACTGAAAGCAGAAACTCGAACAGTTATTTATACACTCTTGTTCATAGCAGCATTTTTCACAATAGCCAAAAAGTGAAAACAATTTCAAATGTCCATCAAGAGATAGATGGATAGATAAATTGTGGTATATATACCATGACACATACCATATACTGATGGAATATGACTCAGTTTTAAAAAGGAGGGAAATTCTGACCTATGCTGCAACATGGATGAGCTGTGAAGACATTATGCTAAGGAAAATAAGCCAGTCACAAAAGGACATATATTTTTTCACTTATATTAGGTCCCTAAAGTAGTTGAATTGATAGTAAAATGATGATTGCCAGAGGCTAAGTTGGGAATGGGAGTTATTATTTCATGGGTTGTAGTTTTAGTTTAAGAAGATGAAAAAGTTCTGGAGATGGATGATATGAAGGTTGTACAACAATGAATGTACTCAAACCTGTACACTTAAAAGTGACTAAAATGGTAAAATTTGTGTTTTATATATAGATATATACATATGTCTATATATATATAGATTATTATATATAATTATATATATAATAAGGAAAGTTTTAAAATACTGTTATAGATTTTTTATGAATTAAAAAACTGCAGTGTATTTTTTAAAAGTCAGTGTATTAATGTCAGTTGTACTTGAATTCACTTTTTTAGTTGATAAGCTCAAAAATTGAATAAGAAAAACAATATTTTATCAGAGTGGTAGGATTATGATTTTTCTTTATATCTTTTCCAAACTTTCCACTGTAGCATCAAAATGATGTATATAATGTGAAACATATTTAGGTATGAATATATACATACTTCTTTAAAATTACGTACATATGAGGGTAAAGTTAGAAATGGTATATGTATCTTTTTTTCATATTAGTCGAGGAAGGTAATTTTGCTGTAAGCTGTATGTTACTAAACTGTTGGCTGATTAATTTACCTAACAGCTATTAATTGAGAACCACTGTGCTTAGACCTGATATTGGCAGAGCCTTTTATACTTTTCAGAAAGCTTTCATGTTATTTGCTAAGGTTTAACCTTATGAAATTACTGATATTGGCCTGTTTTTTCACCTTGAAGAACAGCAATTCCCATACTAGTTCAATGTAAGGATTATAAAAGAGAAGCAGTATTGCAGAGTAGAAAGAAACTAGAAGTAGGAATCAGAAGACCAAGGTTCTGGTCCCACCTCCACACCTATTTATATAAACTTGGGGAAGTCATTTCCTTCTCAAATTCATTTCTCATATTCTTGATGTGAGCCTGATTATACTTGCCTTGTCTAGTGAAGTCTCACTTTGGTTGAGTGACTTGGCTCTAGTCTTTCTGAGGGGGGGTACCTAAGTATTTTGACCCCTGACTCATTGGTCTTTATAGCATACTGGAATGTGGCTTAGTAGATAGAAGAGGGATGAGTTATGGGATATGAAGGCAACAAAATTGAAAGGATCTATGAAGAAGGACATTCAGAATCGGGGACCAGGGAGGACAGGAAGAGGAGTAGGAGAGGTGGGAACACTTGGGCAGGCAGAAAGGTAGATATCTGAATTCCAAGAGTGGAAGAGGTAGATACTGGAATAAAGATAGAAAATACTACCTGATTGTTTCTTAACAGTCTTCTGTCTTTTCTTGCTTTTTAGGGGACTTATGGGGCCCTTTGATCCTTTGTGTGACACTGGCATTGTGAGTACTTACATCTCCTTCCTTTGTCATTTGAGATAGACTATACTTTTTTGTGTGGAGTTTCAAAACTGAGGGAAATTTTGATTATTTCATGTAGGACTTCTATGACATATTGTACTCCTTATGATTTAATTCTAAAAAGTCAAATAGGTTTTCACATCAATTCAAAGAGTGATGGAATTAAAGATGTGAAAACTATGCTCCTCTCTGTTTGCCAATAACTTCTAGCCTGTTTTAGCCATTTCTTTTGAACTGACATTTGTTTACTCTCATGCACTTCCCCATCATTAAATTAAATATCTATAGGTTTAAGCACTGTTGATTTGCAGACATAATTCTTTTAAAATCTTAATAATAATATGAATGAGAATAAATTAGAAAGAGTAGAAGTGGTAGAGTTCAAAGCAAGATCATGTTTCAAAGTGTTAGGCTTTCCTTATTATTGTACATAAAGGGAGAGGACAGAAGAGCGAAGTTCCATTGGAGAGGGGAATATAACCATTGGTAGTGTGGAAAAAATACTGCATTAGGATTCAGTTCTGGGTTCTCATCCTGACTGTCCTATCAGCAAAGTGATTTTGGGCTACTTAGAACCAAAATGTATATAATGATTTTTCCCAGTTTACAGAAAACTTTTAAATACCTTCTCTTTATTGTGTCCTCATAAAAAGAATATTATTTTGACAAACAAGTTTAGGTTCAAAGAGAATGAGGACTGAACCAAGATCACACAATTAGTGGTAGACCTGGAATTCAACCTCAGGTTTTCTTGACCGCCCATTCTCTTCTTCTGTGGTTATTATATATCTCTTCCCACCTAACCCCCGTGGGTCTCCTCTTCCATTATCTATACAAGGAGATGGCTGAGGAACCCTTCCAGTCTTGACCTTTTATGATTCTAAATTCAAAAAAATTTTAAATGTCTTCTCTACCCATTTTTTAATGTAAATTAAGTGTGTGGTAATTTAGGTAATAACATAGAGTGCTGTTTCTTATACCTTTAATAATCACATCAAGGACAATACTCCAGTGCCTTGATAGGCAGGTTTATATTAGAATCACTGAGTATATACATTTTTTAGTTTTAAAAGATTAACATTAGAAATTATGTAGTTTAACCTAATTTATTTGCAGAGAAGAAAACTGGAGTCCCAAGACATCAAGTGATATACTCTAGTTTATACACCTAGTATAACAACTAGGATCATTTTCTGGATCTTCTGCCTTGGAGGCCTGTTAATGTTTTCCCATCACACCATGCGGAAGCAATAGAGATTCCAGACAACAAGTGATGTGTGCCAGCATTCCTTGCATTGGATTCTCAGAACTCGGAATGGACTATGTACAACTAGAGAATACACAAGTCTGTCCTGGCAAACAGCATAGTAGGACAAGACTTACTTTGGAACTCCTCTATACTATGCAATAAAAAGAGGTTGTGAGCTTGGTGTTGCTTATTATTTTTCTGGAAAAAGTTATACTCAGCCCAAGTGTTCTCTCCACAATTTAAAACAGTTTATGTCTGTAAACTTCTTAGACCAAGAGAGGATATTTAACTGACTGTTCAACTACTCCATTTTAAAGCAAAGTCTTTTAGTAATCCTCTCTATATTTTGATTCAAAACAATCAACTAAATAGGTTTATAACAGTTTCCATTTTGAAATGTCAGAATTAGGAGCACCTGGGTAGCCCAGTCAGTTAAGTGTCTGCCTTTGGCTCAAGTCATGATCCTGGGATCCTGGGATTGACCCACATTGAGCTCCCTGCTCAGTAGGCAAGCTATTTCTCCCTCTCCCTGTACACACCCCACCCTTGCACCTGCTTGTGCTCTGTCTCTCCCTCTGCTCTCTGTCTCTTAAATAAGTCAATAAAATCTGTAAAAGTTAAAGAAGTTAAAATAATAAATGTCAGAACTAAAGCCTTAACCAAAGGACTACAAATACAAATGTATCTAAGGCCTAGAGAAGTAACCTAAATCTATACATTGTGATTTGGTGACCTGAAGCCCCTTGTGAAGGAACCTGCTGCTATGTCATTCAGCTGCTCCCAATTGTTGCCATGTAGGAATGTAATGTAGGCCCAGTGTTAGAAATTCTTCAGGTTTTTAAAGAAAATCCAGAAATACATACTTTTAGGTAAAACTTCCCAATTTTAAAATACTGTCATTGGAACTTAAACCCATTTTAAGTCTTGTCCAACCTCATGTCTGTGAGCCACATTTGGCCCTTCAGTTTATAACCTCTGCTTAACCATAAAGGTCTTCAGTAATTTTTTTACACATCCCAACAAGGCCAAATGAAATGACCCTTGTAGTCCTGAGGCATTTGGAATTGGAAATAAGGGAGTCTTGCCAAATACTTCTGGTATTTTGCTTTCTTTCATACAACCTACATATTACAGATCTTCAGGTAAAGTTTAGGACAGGTCCCTGATTCAAAATTTGCCTTAACTTTATTGCTCTAAATAAAAGATAAAGTAATTCTCATGCCATTTCCTTGTCACAGAATGCTTCAAAGCTCTGTAGATAGTGAAAAGGATGGAGGACCCCAGTTTGCAGAAGTGTTTGTCATTGTCTGGTTTGGTGCTGTTACCATCACCCTCAACTCAAAACTTCTTGGAGGAAACATGTGAGTATTATTAAAATGTACTTTGTCCCTTGCCATGTAGCATATCTTAGATTTTTAGGAAAGTCTGGCTAGTTAGGTATTTTAAATGAGGGCTAAAGAGAAAGTTCTTTTAAACCCAATGAACAAGATAACCTAGTTTAACTTTCCTTAAATTATCTAGGGTCCTTTGATAAGCTTCATATGCTCTCTCCAGCTCCTAAAATTGTATGGAGACTTTTTTTGTGTTAAAAGATTATGTCTGTCTTGCAGAAGAATTGGTCCATAGCTTTCAACAAAATCTCAAATAGGTCTTTAAACTAGAAAAGATTAAGAACCACTGTTTTAGAGGTTTAGTGGGAGAAGGAAGTCTCTAGGAATTTGAGTAGATCCTCTGGTATCCTAGATGATGGACACTAAAGGAGTTTGAGAGGAAAGGAGGAAGAGTATGGGGAAGGAAAAATTAAAGCATGTGCTTAATACAGAAGCCTAGCCTCATAAAATCAATGTTAGAATATAGGTATTATGTATTTGGAGGAAAGAAACAAACCACGATATAGAGAAATCTATATAGAGAAACTATCATGATACAGATCAACTATATTTAAGATCTTTATGGATGTATGTTATTTTTTAGATCTTTTTTTCAGAGCCTCTGTGTGCTGGGTTACTGTATACTTCCCTTGACAGTGGCAATGCTGGTTTGCCGGTTGGTGCTTTTGGCCGAGCCAGGACCAGTCAACTTCATGGTCCGACTTTTTGTTGTGATTGTGATGTTTGCCTGGTCTATAGTAGGTAAGGACATACTTGTGTCTACAATACATATAGCAAAGCAGATAAAAGCATGAGTTAGAGGGGCATTTGAGTGTGGTTGAGTGTCTGCCTTTGGCTCGGGTCGTGATCCTGGGATCCTGGGATTGAGTCCTGCATCGGGCTCCCAGCAGGGGAGCTTGCTTCTCCCTCTGCCTATGTTTCTGCCTCTCTCTGTGTGTCTCTCATGAATAAATAAATAAGTCTTTTAAGAAAAAAACATGAGTTAGAGATGAAGACCAGATGAGGTGCAGTGTAATTCCTAACATAGGCAATGATAGGGATGATGTCTATCTTACTTGAGTTGGATATCTGGACTTCTGAGATGGACAGCCATATCCTTTCTTTTTTATTCTTAAATAATGGATAGCGTTGGGAAAGGAGATTATATCAGACCTAGCTGAGATCCTAGCATATAGGAGGCATAGGTGATGTGAGAAATGGCTTGGGTCTTTTCCTGAGAAATTAATCATGATAAGAATAGTAGCCAGAATTTACAGGTTGCTTTTTATAGACCAAGAACTATCATGAGTGCTTTATATGTATTATCTCACTTAACCCTCACAACAACTCTAAGAAATAAAAACTAGTATATTAGTCCCATTTTTACAGATAAGAAACAAACCCAATGAGATTAAGCAACTTGCCCTAGGACACATAACTAGTGAATAGGGGGATTGAGTTTCAAACCCAAGCGTATCTCATTTACAGATCTGTTTAGAACTGTATTATACCACCTCCCAATATAGGCTTTTAGGAATCATTATATAGTACTTTTCTGCTTCAGTAGAAAATTCTGCCAAAGGTTAGGAAGCGCCCATAGCAGCAGCAGTGAATGCTGTGTGCTTATTGTTGTTGCATTCCTAAAATTCTCTTAGAATTCTACCTTCAACTAGAACTGTTCACAGTTTCTTGTTTCATGGGATAGAAAGGCTGCCTAATATTTTTAAGTGCATTATCATATCTTTGCTCTGGAACATGGTTAAAATCCAAGAAGTAATATAAAAATAAGGTCTGAGAATGCCAGAATTGACATTACAAAGACTGTGTGTTAAGCTCAAATGCTTTACCCATGGGACAACCCCTCAATCCCTTACTTAGAGTCTGATAATTTACCATACTTGTAGTTCTAAATATCCAGTGTCCAGGCTCAGCAGTTTGGAAAGTAGAATCTTAGAAGAGAGAGAGAATGTCTCCTATAAGCATTCCATTTTTTTTAAATTTCAGCAGATATTTTTTTTTAAAATTTTTTTTATTTATTTATGACAGTCACAGAGAGAGAGAGAGAGGCAGAGACACAGGCAGAGGGAGAAGCAGGCTCCATGCACCGGGAGCCTGATGTGGGATTCGATCCCGGGTCTCCAGGATCGCGCCCTGGGCCAAAGACCGGCGCTAAACCACTGCGCCACCCAGGGATCCCTCAGCAGATATTTCTTAAGCACAAACTATGTATCAGGCATTGTACTAGGCATGGTCTCTGTCCTCAGAGTTTGTAACTTAATGGAGCAGCCAGACATGTAAACACTTAAAGGCAATAGGCATCCCAGGTGGGAGATGGAAGTCCATGCAGGATATGGTAGGGACATGGAGGAGGTAAGTGGGCAGTTCTGCCTGGGGTGGCAGGATATGAGATGGTTGTTCAGGAAAGATTGCCTGTAAATGGTGATCACTGATGAGTAGATGAGTCTCATTTCCTGGATGGCATCTAAAATAGCTGATAACTTAATAATGAGAACAATTACTCTAAAAGCACAGCAGTAGGAGGCCATTTGCCATAGGAGCAACTTGCCTTATATATCTTCTACATCTTTCTCAGCACATTCAGGTTAGTAACTTTTCAGAAAAGGGTAGGAAGCCCGTTTTAGAAGGATTTTCATGTGAAATGGTTGAAAACTTTCAAAGGTTCATATTGGAAACAAGTAGCTCTCAACTATCTAGAAAACTATGCTAATGCCTTTTTCTCTGAAGAGCACAAATATAACTGAACTTTTAGTATAATTCTGTGTTCCAGACTATGCCGAGCACATTAAAATGTAGTAAATATTGGTGCTTGTAACAATCTTATTTATTAAAGATTCCATTTTGTTTTGTTTTGTTTAGCCTCTACAGCTTTTCTTGCTGATAGCCAGCCTCCAAACCGGAAAGCCCTGGCCATTTATCCCATTTTCTTGTTCTATTTTGTCATCAGTTGGATGATTCTCACCTTCACTCCTCAGTAAATCAGGAAATGCAAATTAAAAACCTGTGAATTGAAAGCTCATCTGAAAGATACAGCTAACCATGGAACTTTCCCTCTGGCCCTCTTTTGTCTAATTTTGGAGGTATTTGGTATGTGAGGAGATTAAAAGGGAACCTTAAAGTACCACACTGCTTATATAAGGAACCCATGTTTGAAAGGCTGTCCTTTGCCTCTTGATGTTATTTCTTTAAAATACATAGTATATGCAGTATAGTGCTGCGTTAAGGCATGATAGGGTCACTGCGGCCCATTTGAGTGACAACCAATGATTTGGGAAGCACATAGATACATTCTGCAAGTTGAGTGGAATTAGCAACTGTATTTTCAGTTTTGAGATTACCAGTTCAAGTGCAGCTCTTAAACACATTGCCTTATGACTATTAGAATATGCCTGTCTTTTCGTAAATAAGAATGGGTAGTCTATCCATTTTGTTTTATTTCTTTCGTAGGCTTAAAAGATAATGACTGAGATTGGGAAGTGGGTTCATAATTGGGGAGGAGAAAACATGTGTTTGCCGGTATTCAGATTTTGACTAGAGAAAATTCTGCACATGTTGCTTCTTCAAAAAGCAAAGGACTTCTAGAGAATCCACTTCTTTAGTGTTTCTATATAGTCCCCTTTCCGCCATGCTTATTCACAGCACTTCAATGACACTCCAGTTTTTAATCTTACTCCCTAGCTCTGAATATGCAAGCTGTTAGCAGTCAGTATGTAATTTTCCTTTCATTAAAGCTCTCAGTGGACCAGCAATTGAACTTATCCAAGTGGAAGACCTCAGAAAATTAGATTGGTAGGTTCTTAACGCATATTACGCATATTATCATTTGGGCACTTCCTTCTTCTTAAGGGTAGAATGAGGCAGTTTTGGATACAGCATAGCTCTAAGGAATTCTTCATTATTCTGTGTAGTTTGGCTTCTAACTACAAAGTAAAGCCAAATCAGAAGCCTGCATTTAACCATGTGAACTTTAGTGTTCTGGTGGCCGGTTCACAGAACAACTAGATGCTTAGAGCATGACAGGATGACATGGGTTTACAGCTGCCACCTTTTCATAGTGGGCTTAGCAGTTTTTTCATTAGGTGTGCTTTTTGGGTTGGGGAATAGTAATTTATTTTCTTGCTTTTAGACTTTATTCATAAAGCTACTTAGCTCTTTTTTAAACAAGTACCTTTTTTTGCACATGTGCACCTACTTGTGTTCTCAGCTATTTATATACATAAGTGTGAAAGCTTTTTGGGGAGCTGATTATCTGGAAAGGCTGATTCTAAGCTAAACAGGGCTCCTTTAAGGTAATATGAGCTACTGCCTTCTATAAATTGCAGATGGAAGAAATCTTAATAATCAAAAGATTAGGAGTCAGGCAGAAAACATTCACTGTATATACAGTTACTTATCAAGATAGGAATTTATTCCACAGTTTTTCTTTATCATGGAATCTAAATATTTATTCATTTTGTATCTAAAGACTATCTACCCATAGATATATAATTTAAAAACATATTTTCTCCATTCCCAAATTAACCAAGAACACTACTAGGACAAATGGGTTCTTGGCGTGATACTAAATTACTAAGCATTACAAAGTTGGTCCCCTCTGTCCCAGCATTCCAAAGATTTTGGTTATGTATTTGTATTTATTTCAATTTCCCTTCTAAATTTTAAAATAAACCTGGTGAGCACAAAGCCAATTTTCCAGTCTTGAATTGGTAAAGACAATATTTTGAAACTGGTTCTGATTTTGAAATTGGTCCTTAAGATGTCATCCATTTCGATTGCCTAAATTTTCCTAACATCATATTAAAAACATCTCTCTTCCAAAGTTTTTCATAATCTGTCCCGATGGTTATAGTGTAAAATTAAAGAAATGATCATGTTTCTCAAAAGGGAATTGCCTACTGAATTTTACTCAGGCTAAATATTTTGGTCAGAAATTTTTAAGGCTACAACTGGGGTGGGAGTTATGTGGGTGGGGGGAGGGGTTATTATATTGGGTGTTAAGGCAATTAATTGTTGCTCTCCGGTGACTTAAGGAATGGTTTCATTTCATTTAAATGAAGATGCGTAAAATGGAGATTATCTTTCTGAAAATGAATGGTCAGTTTTATGGTATAAATGATTATTTTTTAATATATGCAAAAAAAAAAGGTCTTCTGTGGCAGAAGACCTGATTTTCTGGAAGTTGTAACCCTCAACACAACTTTCCCTGCAAAAGCACATGGCTAATTATAGAATAAAGACTAGAAGAGAAGGGGATTTTAACAAAGGAAACCCTGTCCCAGGAATTGGGAAGTTTCATGCTTTAGATGAAACTCAAGTGTGTGAGCATCATGTCCAAATGTGGTGCATCACTACTGTCATGGCTTATCATTTGCTGCTCAAACTTCTGAGATTGAGCCTCCATTGTCACATTCTTTAGCAATAGGAAAGGTGAAGACTGGATGTAATTGTTATTCAGATTATAAAAACTCAACTGATGCAGACATTCTTGAATGTGCAGTGTAGTCTTAAATGTCAACCATTAATTGTCAAGTCATTTGCCTGGTAGGAATCTTATTACTCGAGTTAAATTGGATCTTTTTTATTATGATGGGGTTTTTCTGTTGTTGCTCAAGGGGGGCTTGACACAGGACATAGGACCGGTCAGCATTTTACTGTTTACTATATTTGTCTTTTTATAACTATCTCCCAGATGTGATTAGAAGGCTAGCAAGACTGTATTTGACGATTTAATTGTATACTTCTTATAATCTAACTACGTATTGTACCTGGAGTTCCTGTTTATTCCTGAAGATGAAAATGAAAATCTTTTGTCATTTTAAATTTGGGTGACATCAAGTCATTAAATTTATCTAAATACCATAATGATATGATCAGACATCTGTTGCATGAGTGGCTTTATTCTGGAGTAAAATACTGAAATTGTTATTCTTAATTAGACTGTTAATTTCTGAGACAATTTGGATAGAAATAAATGTATGAATGTTAATTCATGTATGTAAATTAGAAGTACTTTTCTAGATTCTGTGGGCTTTTATTGAAAATAAAGAATTTTTAGGGATTTACTCAGGCCATAGGATGGCCAACTAATAATAATGACAATAATATTACTACTAATAATGGCTAACACTTATTGGGCACTTATATTGTGCCAGGCAATATTCTATTTTTTTAGGAATTTTTATAACAGCTTTACTGAGACATACTTTACCATAAAATTCACCTTTTTAAAGTGACATACAATTAAGTGATTTTTCAGTATATTCACATAATTGTGTAATTTTCACTACTATCTCATTTTAGAACATTATCACATCACAATAAAATCCCATATCCAGTAGCATCATTTTCTTTCCCCCTTCTCCCAGCCTCTGGCAACCACCAATTTTCTTTCTGTCTCTATTGATTTGGCCAGGCACTGTTCTTAAGTGCTTTTTATGTATCTCTTCTAATCCTTAAAAAAAGTGCTACAATTCTCATTTTACAAGTAGAAAATTGAGTCACAGAAAGGGTAAGTAAATTGCCCAAGGTCACACAGTAAATTGATTTAAAATAGGAAAACACTGTAGATGGGAGTAGGACACAGTTCTGAATTACATTGCTATGTTCATTAAATGAATGTACCCCTTTCCCAGCGTACACTCCTGTCATTAAGATTACACCCTATGAATTGACTGGAGATAGATAACTCTCTCTCTTTTTTTTAACCTGAGTAATAGAACAGTATATTAGCATGTGGAAAAAAACACAAGAGCAGTTGTACATGAAAGAGTTAGGTTTGCTGTCCTCCCCCACCTTGAGCCCCTTTTCTCTCCTTATCCTCCACCCAACACACACACACACACACACACACACACACACACATACACACCCCTTGCCTTTTTCCCAAAGTCTTAAGAGTCAAGTGACTTCTGCCTCTTTCATTTTAATTCTCCCAGAGGGATGGTTAATGCATCAAAATTTAACCTGTTTATTCAGATGTTTGTAGTCAGGGGTTGCATCTAGTCACTTATAATATCAGTTATATTTCTAAGACCTCAGAGACCAGTAGTGTGAGAATAAAATCCTTTTTTACTTGGGTTAGATTAGATGGGGTAAATATGAGAGTAAGGGCTTTGCCTTAATGAGTCGGTGGTTCCGCTGGTAGGAAGTGACCACACACTGCTCTTGTTCACTCTGTTCTGTTTATTTCAGAGCCATTGTACTCTATGCCATCACTGCTGGTAATTTCTTGGTCCTCTTCAGTACTCCATTGTAATCCTGATCTTTCCTGTAAATAATGAACCTGTGGAAAGAATAAATCTGTAAAATGATTTGTGAATGTTAAATGTGCAAATAAAAACACTGGAAACGGGGATTTTGTATGTGCCTATTCTTGAGCTGAAAGACACAGATATTTGCTGCATACTGTTTTCAGATGTGATATATTGTCACCAGACAATTTCGAATGCTGTGTAGACAATCCTACACAATCCTGTATAGGCAGCAAGTTAGAAAGGGAAATCACATTCACTGAGCAAATAATATATACTGTTATGTTAGCTACTTTATAAACAGTATCTCCTCTAATCAAAGCAGCCTTTTGAAGTTGGTGGTATTATCTCAAAGTTTTGGAGCCTGGAAAATTGGGGAGGTTAAATAAATTGCCCAAAATACAGTGAGTGGTGCGACGAGGGTTCAAACTCAGGTTTTATGACTCCATAGTCTTCTATATTAATTCTTTGGCAAACTAAAATCCTACCTACCCACTTTAAATAAGCTACATCAATCAGGTAGCTTAATAATATGGTGGGGAAACTGGGTTTTCACCCATCTGCTGGGGACTATACTAATTTCTGCCTTCAGTTTATGATCTACTTGGAGAAACCAAATTCCTTACCATCCCTACACACTAATAGTTGAAATGCATTGTGGTTCTTATTTTTGGTACCACATAAGACCTCAGAATGGTCAGTAAGTACAGGAGACAGCCTTTGAAGTATGGGAAGAATTTGTATCATCCAACAGGAGAAAGGGGCGTTCCAGATGGTAGAGAATACTTATGAACAAAGGTGAGGGGAGCAGGCAAGTCTAAAGCTATCTGTGTGCACATGTGCAAGTATGTCACATTGTCCTGTACATTGTCACAATGCTTTGTGAATATTTTCTAGCTGCCTTTATTTTATTTCACTCTGCAAGATAGGTAAAACTAAGCTTTAAGCTAAAAAAAATAGGCTCAGACAAGTGAAGTAATATGCCTTGGGTTAGAAAGCCAGTCTCAAGAACACAATTGGAAAGTTGTTCTTCATGTTAATATTGATCCTTTTCTATTGATAGCTCACATACTGAAGTGAATTCAACTGACTTTGGGAAATAAAATTGGCTGGATAAGATGAGACAAAATTTTTGAGGGTAGATATTGAAAAGTAGGAAATTGTGAGTAGCTCTTACTGTGGTAGGGAAAAGGATGTTTTCAAATGTTCTGGGACTGGGGAATATTTTGATGAAAGTTACTTTAAGGGAATAAATAAGGACATGTTGAAAAATCAGATTGTGAATACGGTAGAAAGAAGAAAGGAGTGTCGATATGTTTCTGATTACGGGCCTGGAAGAATGGTGTGTTTCTGAGAATGGTTAGGAAGGTGCTGAGTTTGGCTATCAAAGTGGCCATATCCTAAAGACAACTGGAAATATGAGTCTGAAGTGTAGTAAAAATAATAGCTAGAAATAAAAATTTGAGCTTGCAGATGAAGTGCATGTTGAGATAATGTATTGTTTCAGTCTTGTTGACAAGTGTAGTTGCTAAAGGGCAGGACTGAATAAGAATCTAAGATGAGAAGGAAGGAATGAAATTTATTTATGTGCTGTGGTTTTCTACGTGCTACTTTTATCTTACATTAACCTGAGGTAGTTTCCTTCATTTTTACAGAGAAGGAAGCAGTTTGGATTCAGTAAGTGACAAAGGTGGAATGTGAACACAGTTCTGTCTTAACACAAAACCTATGCACTTTCTGTTATGCTCTGCTACCCTTACAGAAAGTTTTATACTCTGAAAGCCTAAGAATGAGTGCCTTGCACGAAGTAGGTGTTCAGGAAATGTGTTGAATTAGTTAAAAGAAAAGTAGGCAGTAAATAGGTATTATGCTGAGTATGGAGGCATGATGAGAGTAAGGATTGAGAAAATATATTTGACTAGAAAGCTGTGGTAAATTGATTGCATTAGTGTCCCACTATTTTTACCCCTCTCTGAATCCCTGCCCTTTGCCATGTGACTTTGGAGTTTCTCTCAGTAAAAGGTGGAACCTATTCACCCCTTCTTTCTAGGTGATCTTTATAGCTTGCTTTGCCTAATAAAATATGGCAAAAGTAATGGCATGCCAGTTCTGATCCTGCATACCTAAGGCTTTGTGTGTTTTTAATTTGTCTCTCATTTCTTGGCCATATCTGTGAGAACATGCCTGAGTTAGCCTACTGAACATATGGAACATAGCCTGGTCATCCCGGCCATAGCCATTCTAGGTTAGCCCAACACCAACTGACTATCAAACAAATGAATGAGCCCTCTAAGACTAGAACTTTCCAGCTGTACCCAACCTAAGTTGCCAATCTGCAGACTTGAGAACTAAATCAATGCTTAATGTTTTAATCTACTGAATTTTGAATGGTTTGGTATGTGGCAGTAAATAACTGGATACAAAAGCCATTCTTTACAATTTTTTTTATGTTTTCAAGGTTATTAGGAGATGGAAGCACTGAGTATTGGTTTCTTATTTGTAAAGTCATATCAGGCACAGAACATTAGAGATGAAAGGAATTCTAGAGGTAGTTAATTCTATTTGCTCATTTTACAAAATGAGAAGCTGAGGGCCAGAAGGAAAGGTTATTTACCCAACACTATTGGAAGGAACAAAAGTAAAACCATTTTTCATTTCCAGTCCACTGCTCTTTACACAGTAGAGTAGATGAAAGGGCCATAACCTAATCAAAAACCCACCAAAATGCACATAGGTCCGTAGATATGTGTATATGTAACAGTGGAAAAGGAAGAGACTAATGAGAAACAGTGACAGGCTCCAAGGAAAAGGGCTTATTAAGGGAGTAACTACCCAAAGGAGATGAAAAGGACTGATTCTGAATAGAGCTGATAGATGTAGCTTTAGAGAAAGTAAAGAAATCTATTGTGAGGCAAAAGGGAAGAATGAATGATTAGATACATGGGTAATTAAGTGTTCACACATTCAACAAGCTGGTTGACCTATTACATTATGCTAGATATTGAGGATTCAAAAATGCCTCAGAGTAATGATATCACCAAGATAATGGCATAGGTTACTCCTGACTTTGCTCCCCCTCACAAGAAGAGCAACTAACAACTATTCAAGAACAAGACATCAGTGAGAATCCTAGAACATAGGGGTGAGGCTGAAGCATCCCCCTGTACCATAGAGATGAAGACAGATGGAATTAGAAGGGCAAAAGGAGTACCTACATGTTGATGTCATTGATCTTCCCTCAGGCCAGCACACCACTATGTGGAAAGGTCTTCCCTAAGCTTCTGGTTCCTCCAATGGGAGAAGATAGCCCAGGGGTTACAACAAGCCCCTCCAGCATTTGGGTTGCGGTGCAGGAGCCCCTGCTCTGATATCACACCATGAGGACTGTAGGGAAATTTATGGGACTCAACCACTCTGAATCTGATGGAGAAAGGAGAAGCTTGCAACAACCAGCACATGGATCTTGGCAGACCAAATTTATACCTATCATGCCCATGCAGTAATTCCAACTAGCAGATTTCCTCATCTACAGAACCGAGTTGGAGGCACACCCTGACTAGGGAACTTGGTAGGGTGCGGGTGTGCCTGATTCAGATCCTCAAATCGGATATACTGGTCCTTGGGATGCCTGAGTGGTTCAGTGGTTGAGCGTCTGCCTTTGGCTCGGGGCATGATCCTGGAGTTCCGGGATCGAATCCCACTTCGGGCTCTCCGCGGGGAGCCTGCTTCTCCCTCTGCCTACATCATTGACTCTCTCTGTGTGTCTCTCATGAATAAATAAATAAAATATTTTTTAAAACAAAGAGATACACTGGCCCTGGAACCCATGTTGACTATGCAGAGGCAAGGAGCTGAATCATAGCTCCACCCACCATGGAGGGTCTTCCAGCCCCATCTGGCCAGAAAGGCTGGCAACGATTCCTGGAAGCTGTGCTGGTTCCATGGTGCTTGAGCTGAGAGGCAGGAAAGCAGAACTGGTCACACCCAGAGCAAAGCCAGTCCTGGGCATGGAGCATTCCTGTACTATGCACAGGCAGGGAGATTAATTCATAGCCAAAGTTGAGGGTAGGTCCTAGCCCCTTACAATCCAAGAGACTGGGAAGTTGAGAGTAACCTAGAGTTTCCCTACCCCCAGCCAGGTAAGGAAGCTGAGACCTAGCCCCACTTCCTGTGAAGAGTGTCTTCTGATCTCATTGGACCAGAAAAGCTGGAGACAACTCCAGGAAGCTGTGTGGCTCAGCTTGAGCCAAAGGTAGGCAAAGCCAATAGTTTTCAGAGGAAAGACAGCGGCCTTGTTCAGTCAGGGAATTGGGGTGTGGGTTGCTTGAGTTAAGGCAACAAAGAGTTTTATCGTCTTTAGAGGTGCTTCTCCTGCTGTGCCAGGGCAGGGACTCTAATTCATAGTCCTACTTACCACTGAATACAGCCCTCAGCCCATATGACTAGGGAACCTAGCCAGAGCACACAGGAAGTTGTATATCCCATTCAACAATCCTATATATGGTAGCACTTGAAAAGAGAGCTTATGGCTTACATAGTCTGCAAAACAAGACTAGTGTCCTCACAGGATAGTAGTGGAGTAGGAGGGCACTTGGCTCATCTTGTTCCACAAACACAACTAGATAACTATCAAATCATTCCAAATATCCCACAAGTTAACCTGAAGACTGACAGAACAAATTCTATAGCTAAAGGGAGAGAGAGGGCCACATCAAAGAATATAGAATCTGTGGATCATGGGTACTGCAGAGGGAAGGGAGCTGTGGTCACAGAGAAGGGCAAGAGACAGAGGAACATGCAGGGGAACAAACAAGGTGAACATTTCCCCAAAGACGGGGAACAAACAAGGTGAACATTTCCCCAAAGACTTTGGCTAGGAAAACAGAGGGGCTAAATTTCATGAGTTCTTACAATCAACAAGACTTCAAGCCAAGAATTTTAAAGGTCGACAGGCCTTGGATAGCACCTGGTGGGTACTGCCCTGCTCCTGGAGAGAAGGCAAACAACCCAGGAGCAGACAGCATGGAAACAGTGATCTGAGGAATGCCTGGAACACACAGTGGTAAGATTATTTCTTGGAGCCTGTCCCTGAGAGGCAGCTT